ACTGTTTGTTCCTATATATAAGTCAACATTTGATATATATTTTTAAATTTTTGATTTTAATCACTCAACTATGAAGATGAATGTAATAGCCCTTTGTCACATGCAACTATTTCGATTTAAATTAACTAAAATTATTCAAGTTAAAAATTAAGGTCATACCAGTCACATTTCAAGTGATTAAACATGCTATTGCACATGACAGTACAGATATAGAACATTTCCATCATGCCAGAAAGTTCTATGGGGTGGTGTTACATTAGAATATCAGCTTAATAAGAAAGGGTATTTTCCTTAGTTTATTCAGTGACATCCCCACATTTAGAATGGTGCCTGGTACACAGTAAGCTTCAAAGAATACCTATTAATTTTTTTTTCTGTGAGTGATTTTGAATAGTCAATGAATGAGTGGCAATGCATTTTTTAGGTTGGACTATATCCCAAAAGGATATATTTGAATCTAAAATAATGAGATCTGTTTTGATGGAAATTAAATACTATATCACAAATCTCCAGATAACTCAAACTGGGTAAGATTATATACTGTTCACTGTCTAAGCTTTTCTTGGTTTGGGAAAGAGACGGTCATTACTATTATTATTATTATTATTATTAATTTTGCCATACATACTGAATTTTTTTACTTACTTTGTTCTATAAAGGTAGAAAATAACTGAAAGAATGTGTATGTGTGTGTGTGTGTGTATGTGTGTGTTTGTGTGTGTGGCATAACCCATAAACTAAAAATTTATTTTTTCATGAAGAAAAAATATGCTTTGAAGATGGTCTCATTGGATTTTAAATAGTTATTTAAGTATATTAATAGTAATCATCATAATAAAAATAAGAAGCTCCTAATGCTTTGCAACACTACTCACTAATTTATATTAAACATGTAAAAATATTTAATTTTCATTTATTATTATTATTATTATTATTATTATTATTTTGGTACTGGGAATTGAATCCAGTGCTTTACTATTGAGATAAATCTCCAGTCCTTTTCATTTTGAGACAGAGTCTTATTAAGATGCTGAGGCTGACTTTGAACTTAAAATCCTCTTGGCTCAGCCTCCCAAGTCACTGGGATTATAGGTTTGTGCCACCATGCCTGACTTCATTTTTAATTTTTAAAATTAGAAATTCCTTAATAGGGTGATAAGACTCCTATTATTTATTCTATAGAACAGATTTCTCTTATTTGTTTCATATTGATATCACTAAATAAAAGTTAAATTCTACATATGAAAAGTTTTCTAAAAATAGAAAATTACTGGTAAAGGACATGTGAAATACTATTTATCTTAAATAACAGAACATGTAATGAAGAATAACTATGCATTTTGCTTGAAATGTACGTCTTGGTTGCATGGGGATATGGTAAATTTATTTTCAATATCTGAGTAAGTGTCCAAGCAAAAATTTTTTTTGTTCAAATGCGTGCTAATATTTTCCATATCTGAAAAGTCTTATTAAGATCTGCTTATCTTTTGCATCCATTGTATTTTTCTTCTTACCAATAAGAACTGTACATTAAATATTACCAAAGGACAATCATATATATATATATATATATATATATATATATATGTAATTACCAAATGAATACAATATTTGTATTTTCATGTATCTATTTATATAATTAATAATATCTTTCTCTAATCACAGATTTTATACCAGCTCAATGCAAGCCTTAAAAAATATTGAAATTTTTAAAAAGCAAAATTCACTCATAATCTTACTACTCAGAAATAAAGGATATGGTCTTTACAGGTTGTTTTTGACAAATGTTAGTATATGTGTGGTAGGGGTAAAGATGAATGAAAGAAAGTTTGTACATTTATGTAACAAAGGTGATATATTTACATATGTTTTATATATATTACATATTTTTACATTTGGTAATACTATAATATTATCATAAACACGTTAGCATATCAATATTTACTTCTATAGCATGTCTTTTAATAACTGTACACTATTTCACTATTTAAATATAATTTATTTAACCACTCAACTATTATTTGACAGATATGTTTGAAGGTCTCAGTAGAATGGCCAGATGTAGTATGTTTTTAGAATACTGAATTCAACTTCAGCATATAAAATGGACAACAGGTTTTACTATATGTTATCTCAATTTTTGATACTTTTTTCAGGAATGGAGAGAAATAGAGTATAAATTTGCAAAATTACACAGGATCACCAAATCAATAGTTTATTCTTGGTGTTACTCACTTCATTAACAGTCACTGTATTTCTGGTTGTCTTGATTCTTCAATATAGTGTTGAATACATGCTGTGAATTTTTTTTGATTAGATATTCTATCCATAAATAAAAGAATAAAGACCTGTTCTACTCTAGGTTATGTTTCAATCAGGTCCCCTTCTGAGAATTGAACCAAGTTCAATGTAAAATTGTATAGTCCGATATATTTTGTAGATTTAATTTCTTTTTTTATTCATATAAATGTTTATTCATTTATATTTATTCCCTGTTATATTTTTTGTGGTTTGATTTTCAACATTTTAGATACTATTACCTGTTCTTATATTTTTCGGCATAGTAATATCAGACCACATTCTGAACACCCAGTCCTATAAATATATAAACAGTATAAACTATTATGGATTTAGTCTGAAATTAAAAAAAAGATTGGAAAATCCTGAATTAAAATCTGTAGTCAAATTAGTAACTATAAGTTGTAAAGGGTATGTTTATTAAAGATATATCTTTCATATATTCAAAATGAATCGTCAATCCTACTGAAGAGGTTAATATTTCACTTCCTACTTTCTTAGAAACAATATATAAATTTTACTAAATCATGATCAATTTAAATGAAACCTAAATTTAAAATATTTTGATATATCATTCTAATTAGACAACAAAATAGTTGACAATTCTATTTTAATGACTACATAATGAAATAGAAGAATCATCTTTGAGCTTGAAAGGGCATGCTCCAAATAGATTAAACATTTTCTACAGTAATATTATTCAAAGTACTAACATGAGTATTTTAAAACAGTATAAATATAATCACTTTAAGTTTGGACAACAGATATCTGGATTACTGAAGTTTAACTAAATATGTATATGAGTTGGTGGGTATAAACAAAAAAGAGCCACTCATAGAGGAGAAGAATTGTTTTAAAACATGTTTAGGTAGTAAAGACTTTAAAATTTTTGAAGAAAGAAAGCCTGTATAATAACTTTATTATCTTCAAATTTTGAAAATGTTTCCTTAAAAATTCCAAAGACATTACATAGTTTTTCTTAAAAAATGTCAAACAATCTAGATTTACAATTTCACATCCCTACCAACAACCTCTTCTTAGAAGTGTGTCTTCAATTTTGTTAGCCTCTATAGATACAAAACCTAGCACAGTATCCTACAAATGTCAGGCATTTTGACAATGTTAAATGAATGCAATTATTCAATGCATAATTCAAAACCATTTTCATCACTGCTACAGAATATATAGAATCGGAAATATTCTGGTAATACACAAAAATTTCACATTTTGCTAATTCACATTTTCAGGAACTTCCTAGACTTATGCTATACAAAAAAGCTAGGGAAGGGTATTTGAAACATCATGTAAACTCCATAAAAGATACAAATTTCTATTCTCTAAAAAGAAATTTAAAATACTTAGACAACTCTATAGGTAGATATGATTGTCAATATATACAGGTTCACCCATAGAGAAAATATTAATTCCCATATGTTGAAGCATTCATGTACTTTTCTTTTTTACTTCATGGATCATTCCCTGGTCCCATGTACTGAACAGTGGATTCAGTCTGTAGGAGAAAATGCTCCAGCTGCTAATGTGAAGAGTGGCAAGCATCAAAATATGGGATGACCCAGCATTGGTTTCTGCTTAAATTTCTCCCTTGGGATGGGGGTATTGGTACTTGGCTGTGCACTAGGATTGGAGAACAGCAGCATATTGGGAAACTTCAAAGGCATAGCATAATTTCAGTATAAATTTGGAATGGAGAAGCACAATTTTGTCACTATGAAGTGAATTAACAACTAACTATCTTGTTCCATTTTTGATAGTGAAAAAAGTAAAAAAAGGAAAGAGAATAAGAATGAAAAGGAATTTATTGTGATAAGAGGGTTTACTTTATATTGGGAATATTACTGCAGTACACAATAACAGAATTAGAGAATGTGACAATTATTTGTGAAAATTATTTTGATTTAAACATACCATACCATCACTTAATTTCTGCTTTTATTATATACACACAGGCACACTGCCTATATCCTCAAGTAAACAACAACTCCACAAGTAAAAAATTGTATTTTATTCTCCTTAGTAAATAAATATTGATTTAAAAAATAAGAACAAAATATTGTGGAACTTCAGAGCTCTTGTGACTAAAATTGGAAGCTTTATTGTTAAATATCTGCTTATTAATAAATCTAACTATTTAGAAGTAGTTAATTATTTGCCTGAGATGACATTATAACTAGGCAACATTTATATGAGTGTTAGAGCCATGATGTTGAAGCTATATTATATGAAAGTAAACCAAGATATGTTCACTGAAAATTCATTGTCATCTTTTAAATGAAAGGATAATCAGCATTTACCCAAATTATCTAAATCTTTAAAATAGGATCAAAGTTAAAGGTAGACTCCAAAGGTTGACAAACATTTTCTGTGAAGATCCAGACAGTAAATATTTTACCACTGCAAACCAAATGTGGTCTCATCATGACCACTCAAATCTGTACTGTAGTGTAAATGTAGCCACAGAGAATACATAAATTTATGTGGTACCATTCTAATAAATTTTATTTACAAAAATAGCCTATAGGCAATAGTTAGACAACCCTTGAAGTAGACTATATATTACTAGAAGTAGCATTAAGTGAGGTAGAGAAAGGATAATTTTATATTTTATCTGATAAGAAATATTTGTGACATTTTCAAGCTCTTTATTCATTTTTTAAAAAACGTAAGTAGCACACAAATCTTACCTGATTAGGTATCCTCAATGGGGGCCTTGGACCTCCAGGGTACCGAGGTGACATAAAAGGCTATTGAAGTAAAAGAAATAAATAAGCAAACAAAACAAACAAAAAACCAGAACAGTACAATGCAAAAAACAGTTCTGAAAATAAACTACTTTTTAAAAATTTTAGAATTATACAAAATGTAAACCAATTTACTTTCTTATGAGACTGCTTTCAGCAGAATAAATGTTTCCAAGAAAAATTATCACCCTATTTTTTAAAAATAGTTTTTTAGTTGTAGATGGACACAATATCTTTATTTTTATTTATTTATTTTTATGTGGTGCTGAGGATCAAACCCAGGACCTCACATCTGTGAGGCAAGCGCTCTACCACTGAGCTACAACTCCAGCCCATCATTTTATTTTTATTTTGTAGAATAGTTGCAAATTTTTCCAGAGAAAATATAAAATTATCAAAGATATTAAACTAACTATAGTGAACTTTTTAGAGTTATGAATTGTTAAGATAATAATGATAATAATATCTAATTGGCAAAAAGATTTTTGAAAAGGCAAATGAATCTCAATAAAGACTTCAGGAGGAAGCTTTGAGATATTTTATTATACAATTAAATTCTAATTATAAACTTTTGACAGAATTGTAACATTTGATTATCAATTTCCTTTAATATCTATAAATTTGCCAAATTTAATCTTTTCTTTTGTAGTTGTTTACAATGGCAAAGAAATTTCAGGATTGACTATAAATTTTAAAGTTAATATTTCATTGCATATTTTGAACCTACAGATTATGATGTATATATATTTAACCAAAGAAAAAATGGTCTTTTATTAAAGTCAAGCTAATTTATGCTGTCGGATGAATCAGTTGCTCTCCTAAAATGTGCTGAATCTTTCAATCCAGAAATTGAAAAATGTCCTAAATGTATCATTTTAGTGATTGTATAATGTGGGAGAATATTTTACATCACTCAGATGTGAGAATCAATTTTTTTTACAAGTTTATAAATTATGCAAAATTCCATTTTTGTTGCATTATTAAATCACTGAAAATGTATAATTTTGTTTACTGATAATCTCAATACATAATTAATTAAACATAAGATTCCTTACATGTAACATAAGCAGGTTATTAACTCAAAAAGGGTTGCATATTATTAAATAAATATAAAGAATGATTTAATATAAATTGAGACCAGTTTAACAGGTAGCAAGTAGATAAGGTATGGGCAAATAAAATTTAAAGCACTTTACAAAATTAAATCCTATATTTATACTGTATTAGAAATAGGCCTGTAGTTTATGCTTAAGACTACATGTTTTCTAGATCTGTTTCAAAAGTAGTCTCTGAAAAAGAATATCTAAAAATTTCGGCCAGACATTTTTTCTAAAGTATCTTTTTTTTAAATACACCACTGGTTTTTAAAAATATTTCTTTAGTTGTCAATAGACCTTTATTTTATTTATTTACATGTGGTGCTGAGAATCGAACCCAGGGCCTCACATTGCTAGGCAAGCGCTCTACCACTGGGCCACAACCCCAGTCATCTATAATCTTTTAGAGGGTCTGACAAATCAACAAGGGGAACTTTATAATTAAGCTAGAAATTTGGCTTTTTGTTCACTGTGTTCCTATATGTTCATATGTGCACAGGAATTCATTGTATATGGACAGGAAAAAAAAGGAATTATTCAGGTAGTAGAATAACCTGGAGCTGACAAAATTTAGGGAGATATAACAGTGTATTTTAAAATGTTTAGGTTTCACATATTTGATTAAAATTGGCTTCCTTTTTCATTTCTAAAACTCTATTCTAAATTGGATTCATAAGTAAACTACATACTGACAGCTAGACACTTATTCCAAAATTCACTCCCCTCTGTTATATTCTCTTTCCTTTCAAAATCACCCAACTTCACTTATGAAACTATCTTGTAAATTTTGTTTGCACTTTTGAAATTTAATAATTAGATACTGTGCCACTGGTTTTGTAATGGATACCTTTATTTTACAATGTGATGTTTTATAATATATTCATTAACTCAAAGTATAATATCAGTTTATTGAAATATGAAAAAATAAAAATTTACTAATACTTCTTATCTATAACAGAATCACTTTGAAATGAAAGGTGGAAATTATGTGAAAAATATTACTAAATACCAAAAGTTGGGATAATACTAAGTGCTTTATTTGAAATGGAGAATTTGATATTTCCATGTTCATCTGAATGCAAAAAGATGTTACAGTGTTTGATTTTTATCTCAATAAATGCATAAAAAGCATTTGACAAAATACAGCATTCATTCATGTGCAAAACACTAGAAAAACTAGGGATAGTAGGAATATACCTCAACATTGTAAAAGGTATATATACTAAACCCACAACCAACATCATTCTAAATAGAGAAAAATTAGAAGCATTCCCTCTAAAACCTGGAAAAAGACAAGGATGCCCTCTTTCACCACTTTGATTCAACATAGTCTGGAAACACTGATCAGAACAATTAAACATAAGAAAGAAATTAAAGGAATATGAGTAGGAAAAGAAGAACTCAAAGTATCCCTATTTGCCGATAACATGATTCTATGTTAAGAAGACCCAAAAAAATCCACTAGAAAACTTCTAGAACTCATAAATTAATTCAGCAAAGTAGGAGGACACAAAATTAACATCCATAAATCAATTGCATTCCTATACATCAGTGATGACTCAAGTGAAATATAAATTAGGAAAACTATTCCAATCACAATAGCCTCAAAAAAAAAAAATACAAGGGGATAAATCTAACAAAAGAGGTGAAAGACCTCTACAATGAAAACTAAAGAATTCTAAAGAAAGAAATTAAAGAAGACCTTAAAAGACAGAATAATCTCCCATGTTCTTGGATAGGCAGAATTAATATTGTCAAAATGAGTATGTTACCAAAAGCACTATACAGATTTAATGCAACTCCTATTAAGGTTCTGGTGACATTCTTCATAGAAATAGAAAACCAGTTATAAAATTCATTTGGAAAAATAAGAGTCCCAGAATAGCTGAAGCAATCCTCAGTGAGAAGAGTGAAGCAGGAGGCATTGCAATATCAGACTTTAAATTTTACTACAAAGATATAGTAAGAAAACCAGTGTGGTATTGGCACAAAAACAGACATGAAGACCAATAGTACAGAATAGAAGACATAGAGACAAACCCACATAAATACAATTATTTCATACTAGACAAAGGAACTACCAACAAACAAAGAGAGAGCCTCTTCAAAAATGGTGCAGGAAAACTGGAAATCCATGTATAACAAAATGAAATTAGACCCTTATCTCTCACCTTGCACAAAACTCAACTCAAAGTGATCAAGGACTTAGGCATTAGACCAGAGACTCTGCACCTACTAAAAGAAAAAGTAGAGTCAACTCTCCATCATGTGGGCTTAGGAACCAAATTCCTCAACAAGACTCCTAAAGCATAAGAAATAAAATCAAGAATCAATGAATAGGATACTATCAAACTAAAAAGCTTCTTCATGCAAAGGAAATAAAAATGTGAAGATAGAGCCTACAGAATGGGAGAAAATCCTTGCCACCTGTACCTCAGATAGAGCATTAAACTCCAGGATATATAAAGAACTCAAAAAACTTAAGACCAGAAAATAAATAAACAAATAGATAAGCAAAGCAATCAATAAATGGGCAAAGGAACTGAATAGATACTTCACAGAAGAAGAAATACGAATGGTCAACAAATAAAAAATGTTCAACATCACTAGCAATTAGAGAAATGCATATTAAAACTACACTGAGATTTCATCTCACTCTAGTCAGAACAGCAATTATTAAAAATACAAGTAACAATAAATGTTGGTGAGAATGTGGGGGGAAAGGTACATTCATACATTGCCGGAGGGACTGCAAATTGGTGCAACCACTACGGAAAACAATATGGAGATTCCTCAGAAAACTTGGAATGGAACCACCTTTGACCCAGTTATCCAACTCCTCGGTTTATACCCAGAGGACTTAAAATCAGCATACTATAGTAATGTGGCCACATCAATGTTTACAGCAGCTCAATTCACAATAGCTAAACTATAGAACCAACCTAGGTTTTAGAAGACTCAAAAAACTCCACTAGAAAACTTCTAGAACTCATAAATTAATGGAGAATTTATGAATTCATTATAATGGATGAATGGATAAAGAAAATGTGGTATATATACACAATGGGATATTCCTCAGCCATAAAGAAGAATAAAATTACATCATTTGCAGGAAAATGTATGGAACTGAAGACTATCATGCTAAGTGAATTAAGCTAATCCCCCCCAAATCAAAGGCTAAATATTCTCTATGATATGTAGATGCTGACTCACAATAGGTGGTGGGAGAGAGGAGGTTCATGGGATTGGACAGGGTAGAGTGGAGGGAAAGGAGGTGTGAGGAGAATGGGAAAGATAGTAGAATGAATCAGACATAACTTTCCTATGTTCATATATAAATATACAACCAGTATACCACATCATGTACAACCACAAAAATGGGAATTTATACTCCATGTATGTATGTTAAAATACATATTCCACTGTCATGTATAATTTAAAAAGTACATAAAAGAATATTAGATTATAAAAAAGACGTGATAGTTTTTATTTAATGGAATATTTGGAACAAATTTTTTTCTCTGGTGGATGGCATTGTGTATGAACATATGTTAGTGGGATTGTCTGTACTTTCCTAGTGACTATAAGGCCCTATCAAGAGGTACTGTGAGGCAGAGTCAGCTTATGGGGTAGCATTATAAAATTATACTTTTGTGTTATTTCAATATTAGCCTGAAATATAAAGATTAGTATATTGTGGATGGCTGTAAATATTTATATTAACAAATATTAGTGGGTGTGATAAGGGATAAGGATAACAATTACTAAGATATAAACCATCTTTATAAAAGAGTTGGAAAAACTATTACCACCCTTTCTAGAGAAATAGGAAAACCTAGTCAAAAAAAGAAATATACCAATAAACAATGGTGATCTTTGTTGTATTGTATTAATAGTCAATTGGGA